CTGGAGAAACCCTGGAGGCTGGACTGTAGCTGTTTCCGGGCAGGAGAGGGGCCGGGTGGAGGCCCAGGTCTAGGGCACTTCCTCCTTCCTCCCCAGCGGTCCCTCCTGGAACTCCGTCTCCAGGAAGAGCCGCTTGGCGAAGAGGAGGCGTCCACTCGGTCTTTGCAATCTGCCTTCGCTCTTTTATTCAGTAAAAATGGAAGAGGTTTTTGTTTTGCTCTTATGCTTTCTGTTCCAAACACAAGGCCTGGGACCATTGGGCTTTTGTTCTTGGTCGTTGAAAACGGTAGCATATGGGAAACCTCTTCACTGAATAGCGCTCACCATCATCATGGGGAACATGCGTGAGCGGGATTGATGAGACAGGTGGGGGCCCGGGCTGCACCTGAGGCTCAAATTCTCATTCGGGTTTTTATGGTATCTCCTCTGATGATGCGTGTGGTGCGGGAGGGAGGGTACCCCTCCTCACCTGCGTTAAATGATAGAACAGTCGGCCCGGCCGGCGGGGCTCTGTGGTTGAGGGTCAACCTATGAACCAGGTAGGAGGTCACAGTTCAATTCCGGTCAAGGGCACATGCCCGGGTTGCGGGCTCAATCCCTAGTAGGGAGCGTGCAGGAGGCAGCCGATCTATGGTTCTCTCTCCTCATTGATGTTTCTCTCTCCTTTCTTCTCTGAAATCAATAAAAACATATTTTTAAAAAATGATCAAATAATTGGAGGTGTTTGTAAATAATTCAGAAGGGTCTGAACTAAAATTTATCTTTTAAATCAAATGATTCTGGAGGCTTACTTTGCCTTATTTTAAGTAATTAAAACAATCAGGGACGTGGTTTTTACAGTGCTTTTTGAAAACATGGAGCAGTTATCAAAACAGAAGCATTTGATGACCCAGAATTGCAGTCTTAGACCTTTCTCCCACTCGTAAGGGTGCATACCTGTCTCAGTACTCCCCAAGATGAGCGTATGCTTATAGATTTGTTTTCAAACCAAACTTTCAAATTGGAAAATGTTACCTCGTAAGAAAAATGTATATCTCCCCTTAGTTTAGAGGACTGCAAACCCCAGCCATGCAATTACTTCTTTTTGAAAAACTACTTTTCTCCTATTGGGAAAGTTTCGGTGATCATGTAATTACATGTGGGAGATGAGAGAGAGAAGGTTACACAGCAAACACCTCATTGTTATTCCTTCAAAACAGCATCGATATTAACATCCGTGCATTCATGAGCAAAGGACCTTCGTGTTTGCTTTGAATTAGAATCATCAATGCATTGATTATAGACAAATGCGTTGTCTGTCGCAGTTGAAATAGCTAATATGCATATTGGGAAGCTTTCATGAAATGACTAATGAAGCAAAGAAATCTGTTGGTTTCCCCCCCTGTATGTTTAACGAGGTGTGCACCTTTGCATGCATTGTAAATATTAGTGCATTTGTATTACATTAGAAGCCCGTAAGTATGGCTTGAATACCATTTCTTGAGTTTAATTGCGGTACATTGCCTTGTGAGTATCTTCATTTGCCAGGTGATGTGAGTTTAACGGGCTGTGTTGTACACGGTTTTATTGTTATGGCATGCAAATCAGGACCAAATGCCAGCGCATCCATTAGGCCGTGGCATGAAGTGTGGACCGGAAAGGTTCCAGTCGCTTCGGAAAAGGTCCTGTCACCATTTCCGCTGTAAATCACTGCCAAGCTTCCGAGAAGGAGCCTTTGGAGCTGACATTGGGGATACGGAGCGAACCCTAAGATGTTTACGACATGCGGGAGCCTCTGAGGTTGACTCCCGAGTGTCAGCAGCGCATCCCGGGAAGGGAGGCATTTATCAGGATCCAGGCAGCGGCGAGTGCTTTGCTAGTGGAGGTGCATTCGTCCTTGTCCTGGAAAGCAGAGCCCTGAGCGGCGTGTCTCTGTGCCCTTGACCAAGGTCGCCCACGTGGGCAGACGTGGCCGCTCAATGGAGGAGGAGGTGGCCCAGGCGCCCAGACCTGGGAGCCGTCCCCCGTGCCGAAGGGCTGACCATGGCGAGGGAAAGGGGGGGGTGCTGACGGAGAGGAGGCAGAGAGCAGAGGAGGTGAGGCTTTCGTTTCTTCATCCACCTGCCTCCCCCTCAGCACCTTCCCCGCGGGGACCTGTCTCCAGGGGGCGCCGAAGGAGGTGGCTCTGGGGAGGGGGCGATGGCTGAATCACTGCCCAGTGGACGGAGACGGGTGCACGGACGTGCTTGTGTCTCCTGCAGAGCGTGGGTGAGAAGAGCCCCGGCTTGGGGTCCAGTCACACCCTTCTTCTCCGAAATCAATAAAAACATATTTTAAAGAAAGAATGTGTAGGAAGCGACACTCACAGAGCATCATGCACAGCCCCCCGGACACCCCAGGTCCCACGTGGCCACGGGTGGACGAGCCCGAGGAGGAATGAGAACGCAGGAGACGCAGGAAGAGGCAGCTCCAGGGCTCCCGGGAGGCGCTTCCGGAAGCTGCAGGTGAAGGCGGATGCTGAGGAGAGTGGAGGCTGAGGAGTTTCTGCCTCATTTGCCAGGGTCCCTGGGGCCGGGGAGCCAGTGAGCAGACACGGCGGGCACAAAAACGGGAGAACAGTGTATTGCGAAGGGGCCAAGGCAGAGGAAACCCAGCTACTGCTGTGGAGCCAACAGTGGTGCCCGCCCCCTCCCCCGATCTGGTGGAAAATAGGTCCGATTTTCTATGGAAACTGCGCGTATTGTTTCACTTTCACTTGATGTTTCTGTGTTCGGAAGACTTGGATAAGCAAGGCATTTATGGCTCCCCAAATAACGGATTACAAAATGACAGCTTTCAGAACACATTCCCCTTTGCAAATGTGAAGTCAGCAATGGCCACATGAGCTCTGAAGAGCATGTGAGCTTGACTATGTATATATGCACGTGTGTGTGTGTGTGTGTGTGTGTGTGTGTGTGTGTTGATTTTAGAGAGAGGAAGGGAGGGGAGAGAATGAGAAAGAAACATCAATGATGAGAGAGAATCATGGATTGGCTGCCTCCTGCACGCCCCCCACTGGGGATCAAGCCTGTAACCTGGGCATGTGCCCTGACCGGGAATCGAATCGTAACCTCCTAGTTCATAGGTTGATGCTCAACCACTGAGCCACACCGGCTGGGCTGGGCTTGACATTTAATGCCCGAGTCTCCGTGTCTGCGTTTCAGGAAAACTGTGCCAATCCCACTTTCAATCTATTTATATTTAGGTGCAAAGACCCTGTAAAATATGCATGTTGCACAATTAATGAATATTTAATAAACAGATTTTCTGAGTTTAAATGTCTTTGAAAATCACTTGGCTCATATGGGTTTTTTTCCTTCTTGATATAATCCCAGTAGTGTTAGCAATGATTTGGTTGTTTGCCAAAATCTAACCCCTCCACAGGTAATTGACAGGTATTCACCTTTGTCACCTGGCAGCTTTTCTTACTTAAAAATGTACGTTGTCTCGAGGTGGAGCTGTTGGATGGGTTTCCAGGGCAGCTCCCAGCGAGTTCCTGAACTGCCACTGCCTGTACGAGGGCCCAGGCTCGGAGAAAATGGGAGGTTGATGAGGTCGCCTGCCTGTGACCCATTGGAAATTCTATGTTCTTCACCTTAATTTCTGATCTGCAAGCTTTCTTGTAATTCAAATTTTTTTAAAAAAATCATTTTATTTACTCCAGAAAGAAACCTATATATATAAAGGCCTGAGCGACCATTCAACCATCCGACCGGTAGCTATGACGCACACTGCCCACCAGGGGGCAGACACTCAATGCAGTAGCTGCCGAGCTGCAGTGACTTGGCAGCTGCGGTTCTCGGGTGATGCACCCTGGAACCAGAGAGGAGGGAGCCCGATTCCAGGGTGCATCACCCGAGAACTGCCCTCTTGCAATCTGGGACCCCTCGGGGGATGTTGGAGAGCAGGCCCGGCCGAGGCCCCCACCGGTGCAGCACCAGGCCTCTAATGTGATTATGAAAACGGATTGGACCGAGAATTGTCATTCTTTAAACGTTTGGAAGGATGACCCCCACCACCCACCGTCTGCTGCCTCATTTCTCGGTGAACAGACCCCGGACCCTTCGGAGAGATTTGGGGGTCGCTCCTCTCACTTCTTCCTGTCCTGTGCACGCCGTTGGGTCCCGGCCGACTCCTGGCCCCACGTCCCTGACATCCTTCCTGTAAAGGGGGTTCTGTGTCACCAAATCCGTGACACTTCTCTTGCCTTACCCCCTCGGCGGGGCAGGCCTCCACTGGGGGGCGTGTTTCGAGGTGACGCAGAATAAACTCGGCCAAGGGACGCCAAGGAGTGTCTTTCCCAGACCTGGAAGCCTTCCGCTGTGTCAGTGATGCTATTAATAAACACTTGTATGTCGTTGCATAATTTAGACAGCCCTTCCCCTCACACAAATATATGTAGTCCCCTCGACCGCCTTCAGCGGTTGGCAAAGTCAGTATTGTTTTCCTCTTAAAAATGAGGATGCCGAGGGTCAGAAAAGTGAAGTCGTGTGTTCAAGTCTTCAAAGACAACAGAGGGCCCTGGCCCACATGGCACAGTTGGTGGAGCATTGTCCTGTGCACGGAAAGATTGCTGCTTTGATACCCGGTCAGGGCACATGCTCAGGTTGGGGGATCGATCCCCGGGGCAGGGGGGCGCAGGGGGGCATGTGCAGGAGGCAACCAGTCAATGTTTCTCTCATACGTATCTCTCTCTCTCTCTCTCTCTCTCTCTCTCTTCCCCCGAATCTCCCCCCTGCCCCTCTCCCCCTTTGCCGTTCTCTAAAACATACCCGCAGGTGAGGATTAAAAACAGATAGATGAGGGAGTCTCTAGCACAAGGCGGAAGTCCCACATCTCATCCTTTGCTTCACTCAGAATCTGCTGTTATTGAATGGCTTGTCTTTAAACGGATGCACAGCTAACCTCGCCTTGTACTTTACCATTGAGCACACGCACATGTAAAGACCATGTGCCCTGGTGTATGCAGTCGTATCTGAACCGTGTTCTCTCCTCTTTCTGAAGGTCCTCATCGCGAGCATCATGTGCAGCTACAACAGGAACGACTGGATGGAGCTCGCCAGCATGGCCGAGGTAACGCAGTCCCCTCTCTTCTGTGTCCTCTCTTCTGTTTTTATCAGCTGTAAATGAAGAGCCGCCGTGGAAAAGAACCCCATGACAGCAAAACTGAATGGAAAATGGTAACTCAAAAAAAAGAGTTTCTATTATCATGTTTCATTGACAGGATGGGAATGGAAATTTAAAGGGACTCTATCCCATAAAAATGGTCCCTGGCATTTCACAGGCTGCCTAGAAACCCTTTCTCCTTTGAATCCATTTCCTCTTGATTTGCATAGAAAGCAAAACCTATCCGAGGATGGATGTCATGATAACACATAATGCCACCCTGGAGAGGCACACTGGATCTTACCTCGCCTTCAGGCAAGCTGGTGTGACAGTAAGGGAAGAAACTGTGAATACAAAACCCTCGAATATTTAAAATGTAAAAGGTCCCGTTCGGTACCATTCGCGTGTGAATACGGACAGGCCTGGGATGGTGGGACCGACGCTCCTGAGTGAGCACGGTGAGTGGGGTTTCTGTAGTGTCAGGGACGCCTGCCCAAACTCGAACAGCTCCCCACCGGCTCAGATTTGTTTTAATTTTATTTCTTTAAATATATTTTTATTGATTTCAGAGAGAAAGGGAGAGGGAGATAGAAACATCAGCTGCCTCCTGCACGCCCCCTACTGGGGATGGAGGCTGCAACCCGGGCATGTGCTCTGACCAGAAATCGAACCATGACCTCCTGGTTCATAGGTCAACGCTCAACCGCTAAGCTACGCCGGCTGGGCTCAGATTTGTGTTTTAAACAGAAAAAAAAAAAATACATAGTTAACATTATACGCTATCTTGAAAGATACTCGAGACAGATTTAGCTGGGGTTCCTGGAAACCGCTCAGATAGGAGAGTAAATCTGACCCCACTTATGAACTAATGACTCTACATCATATTCAGAAACGTGGATTGTGCAGTTTATTTGGACATCTCAAAACTGTGAGGGGAAATTACTTCTGGGACTCGGGGGCTGAAATTAGCCGTGATCCGTAATCGGCTCCCTGAACTTGGGCGCTGGGTCCATTTTCTACATGTATTTACCTAATTGAGCGTGAAATCCTCCATGGAGCCCGTGCCTGGCGTGAGCTCGGCCAGTGTTAAGCTGACCATGATGAATCGCTTTACACGCTGCCTGCGTCCCGCCCGCCCGTACAACAGAGGCCGTAAAAAAGAGGTCCTTTGGTCGGGAGCCTTTAAATGAGCGAGTTTTACTTTGAAGAAGTCAAAAGCCTTTGTATTAGTAACACACTAACCGGCTTAACGATGTTTGCTACACATTGCTCACATTTCATATCTTTCTTTTTTCTCCTAAATATTTTTTTACTGATTTCAGAGAGGAAGGGAGGAGGAGATAAAAGCATCAACGATGAGAGAGAATCATTGACCGGCTGCCTCTTGCACACCCCCCACTGGGGACCAAGCCCACGGGCATATGCCCTGACCGGGAATAGACCCGTGACCTCCTGGTTCATAGCCCGCTGCTCCACCACGGAGCCTCGCTGGCCGGGCCTGAGTCCTTCACTGTTGTTAAATGTATTTACACTTTTCCAAAGCAACCCTGTGAGTCACTTCCATGGCGTTTCACTGGTTAGAGATGAGGGAACAGGGCAAAGGGGAGTGAAGGAATCTGCCCCAGTGCACACGGCAAGGACGTGGGAAACGTGGATTCAAACCCATGACGTCTGGCTCCAGAGTCCACACGACTCACGTACACAGCCTTCTTCACACGGAAAAGTGGAGGGGAAGCGGAGGAGGCGCGCCCTTGGGGAGAGCACGTTGTCTGCCCCTGCCCTCGCTGAGTGCCGCCCTGTGTAGGCATTCGGGCGATGCAGAATCAGCTGGGCCCAGCAACTGCACCCAAAGGCTCCTCACTAACCGGGGTCGGGGTGCACGGCACGCCCAGTCCCAGTTAATTCCCCATCTCCTGCTCATTCAGCAGTTCAGGCTCCCGGCGTGCATATCGCTGCTTAGAGAGGAGCGCACTGCTCGCTCAGGCACCGGCGTCTGTGGGAGCAGCGTCTGAGCAGAGGCCCAATGAGCACCGCCCGTCCCCGGGTCACCTGGGGCAGGGAACCTGTTCCTGAGACTCACAGGCTCGTGTCAGAGCCTCTCCGGCTGGTCCGCTGGGCGGGTGTTCGTGTATTTCTAGAATACTGGGGAACTTTCTAGTCCGTCACTGAGGAAAACTTTAAATTGGGTTGGTGGTTTTACAGTATTTTATTTTTAAAATTATTTTTAAATATATTTTTACTCATTTGAGAGAGGGAGAGAGATAGACACATCCATGATGAGAGAGAATCATGGACCGGCTGCCTCCTGCACGCCCCACACTGGGGATGGAGCCTGCAACCCGGGCCTGTGCCCTGACCGGGAATCGAACCGTGACTTCCTGGTTCATAGGTTGACGCTCAACCACTGAGCCATGCCAGTCAGGCTACAAGATTTTAATTTAAAGTTTAGAAGGCTTAAGGATGTCAAGTTTTCTTAACATACTGTCCCAACACCAGCCACAGACTAAGTGATCTCTATTTAAAGTCACAGGAGTGAGTGAGGCTGTGGGCTCAACGTGCTCTCACATGGCTGGGTTCGTCACCCTCCCCTCAGTCGCAGGCTGTGGGACAGGGAGTAGGGCACTCAGACTCCTGGTGCCTCAGTTTCATCTTCTGTGAAATGGGAAGAACGACATACCCTACTGCAGAGAGCCTCGCACAGCGTCTGGCCTGTTACTCACTGCCGTCATTGCTGTGCTGGCTAATTGTCAGCGCGCACTTGTACTTTAGGAAATGTGCATCGGGTGAATATGTAAGCCAGTGCCCCCTAAAGCTTGGGTATTCCAGAATGCTGTTGAATTGATTTGCTTTTTTAAATTGCTGGCAGCTCAATACAGCAGTCTACAGGAAATATTTGAAATAACTAAGAGATAATAAGGAAAGAGCAGCCGTGTATATGATTGTGCTGTGCCATCTTTTAAGGAAGCTGGTGATTCCACGGGACGTGTTTGGAGACGGGGCCTGTTCCTACAGCCGACACAGAAGGTTGGCTGACTTGCCCAACGCAGTCCTTGGCCGACCTGGGATTGAACTCAGTGTAGCCAGTTGTGTGTGGCCCATGATTACTACCGAACCAGCAGGGGGAAAATGGCATGATTTAAATAACGTAATTTCCAAATAATAGGACGCATTTAAAACTGAATTAGGGAAGCAAAAGCCACGATGAGACCCTGTTAGGAAACAGGCTGAGTGAGCAAATGAACTCTCCCAAGTGTGCCGGGGCAAAAGCAGGCTCGCGATGAGTCGAGATGGGTGCGAGGTGCTAACCAGGATTCGTGTTCAGGGTCCTCCTTAACATTCAGAAAGCAGGGGGGGTCGGGGGGGAAACAACAGGCTAAAACCTGAGCAATTAGGGAGCAGGGCCCCTGCACTTGGAAAGCAGTGAGCTTTTCTCAGCCGGCGCCTGGCTTAATAGACTTGTTGTAATTGTATGAAGTTTCTAGGTGACCTTATTTAAAACAAAATTGTAGCCCGGTTGGCGTGGCTCAGTGGCTGAGTATTAACCTATGAACCAGGAGGTCGTGGTTCAATTCCCGGTCAGGGCACGTGCCCGGGTTGCGGGTTCGATCCCCAGTGTGGGGCGTGCAGGAGGAGTCTCTCTCATCATGGGTGTTTCTATCTCTCTCCCTCTTTCTTCCTCTCTGAAATCTATATATGTAATTTTTTTTTAAGTTGTAGCACCTGGAACATTCTAGAAGTGAGGTGAAAGAATGGAAAACTTGAACCACTTACGTCATCTCCCATTCCTCACATTACTCTATTAAGCTATTAGAAAAGCATTTTGCTTATTCTTAGAGGTTTTCACAGGAGACTCCCCAAGAGTTCCATGAACCCCTGCGCATGCTTAGGGACCGACCTCCTGTCTTCCTGTGGCAGGAGCCCTCTGTCCACAAGTGAATTCATGAGTAAATGAGAAGGACTCCTGTTTAATTAAGCTAAGACAGTGTCACCTGTACTCCCTGGTTCTGCGCACGGACATTTTTTAAAATTGATAAAATTGACATTCAGTTAAAAACACATTCCCTGGTGCTCCTTCCCGGCAGCCTCCTCTGTCTTCCTTTGCACGGTGGCTCATGGTCCCTCTCCCGGGGGAATAAGGTGTGTTCCTGTGAACAGAGCTGTGAGGGGTTGCGGGAACGGGCCGGCAGGCAGAGCTGAGCTGACCCCCCTGCTGGTCTCCATGTAGCCAGGCCTGGGCATCGCTTTTCCTGTGTAAAATGCGCCCAGTCAACCGAGGATTGTGCACATCTGAGACACAGAGGCAGGGGGCGGTGAGGGCCCTTGGGGAGCTCCCGTGAGTGTCTGTGATTGCTGTTCTAGACGCTCTCATCGGAGCCTGACCAGCCCTGCGAGGCCACGAGGCCGCCGTCCCGTCCCGGAGGGAGCAGTGGGGCTGCCGTCTGGCCACATGCCCTGTGCTGTGTGACGGGGGGGAAGCCTGCGGCTCCCGAGTAATGCTGTCCCTTTCCTCCCTCTCCCGTGTGTCCCGCAGGCTTCCGGAGCGGACGCCCTGGAGCTGAACCTGTCCTGTCCACACGGCATGGGCGAGAGGGGCATGGGCCTGGCCTGCGGGCAGGTAAGGACCTCGCAGCTGTCACCTGTCTGTCTGGGGGGAGCGGGCCCTGGTTCAGGGGCTAAGGCTGCCGCGGGCGGGTCAGACAGGCAGAGACCGCCAGGGCTGCGCTGTTCAGTGGTGCTGAGAATGTGGGGAGGGAAGGCACCTGGGCTTGAGCAAGGGTGAGGTTACTGAGGACAGGCTCCCATTGTGGGCCTGACAGGAGGGAATCGCACACCAAACAGTTTAACAAAGCGCCGAGCCAAATCGGCTGCTTGCGGTACAGTGTTCTGTTTGCAGGCTGGCCACAGCCCCTTCATGGTGGGGGTCCCCGCTGGGGTGCCTGGCCAGCCTAGGTGAGGGGCTGCTGGCTGTTTGCAGACTGGCCAAGCCCCCCAGCGGGGACCCCCACCCCATGAGGGTGTGGCCAGCCTGGGTGAGGGGCTGCTGGCTGTTTGCAGGCTGGCCAAGCCCCCCAGCGGGGACCCTCAGCCCATGATGGTGTGGCCATCCTGGGTGAGGGGCTGATGGCTGTTTGCAGGCTGGCCATGGCCCCCAGCCAGCCAAGCTCCCAGTGGAGGCTGGCTGGAAGCAGGTATCTGAGATTTATTTATCTTCTGTAATTGAAACTTTATTGCCTTGAGAGGAGGCCACAGCCGGCCAGGGCAGGCAGGAAGCTTGGCTTCCTCCATCGCAAGCCTCCTGCTTGCTCCAGCTCCGTGGCTGTGGCCGCCATCTTGGTTGGGTTAATTTGCATATAGTCACTCTGATTGGCTGGTGGGCGTGGCAGAGGTACGGTCAATTTGCATGTTTGTCTTTTATTAGATTCGATTATAATTTTCTCCTCTTTTCTGCTTGCTTAGCACTTTTCTTGTTTGACTCTGTGCCTCGTGATTTCCGATTTCTCTTAGCATCCTCCCTGCATGTGGGTGACAACTTGCAGGGTTGGCTCACATTGCTGACAACAAACAGCCCTCGTTCTCGGAGAGTTTATTATACACCAGGAAACGTGTTATCATTGGGGTGGGTCATGTGATTTAATTCTCAAACAGCCCTTGGGTCTGCTACTACCATTATCCATGACTGCCATTTTGGGAGATGAAGATGCAGGAGCATTAACCCCTTGAGTGCTGGGGAGTGCAATCGCACTCCTCCTGTCTTTCGCCAAAAGTGCTGGGAGCGCGATCACGCTTCTTCTGCAGCGTCCAGTTCTAAGTCTGCTTTTATTAGTGATGATGATATTGCTAAGTACGTCAATTCTTGCTGTGAAGATGACGATTTTGTGGAAGATATTGAATATGTAACTTCATTTACTTGCGATTCATAATTTTTTTCCTAAACTGCTGTAAAATCAGCAAAAAATTGCCTTGGCAATTTTAGCACAGCTCCTAGGATATTGGTTGGCACTCAGAGGGTTAAAAGGCTAAGCAGTTTGTCCGAAATCCTGCAGCCAGGAAATGGCCGGGCCAGGCCTGGGGGTCAGTGTCTGACGCAGGCTGCTCGCCTGCCCGCGGCTCCTCCGCGCCCCCGTAAAATGGCCTCAGATGACACCTGGTCTCGTCAGTCTGCTTTTGATCTGGATGGAAGGAGAGGTGATGTCCTCACAGCATAGCTCCTAGGATATTGGTTGGCACTCAAAGGGTAAAAGGCTAAGCAGTTTGTCCGAAATCCTGCAGCCAGGAAATGGCCGGGCCAGGCCTGGGGGTCAGTGTCTGACACAGGCTGCCCGCCTGCCCGCGGCTCCTCCGCGCCCCCGTAAAACGGCCTCAGATGACGCCTGGTCTCCTCAGTCTGCTTTTGATCTGGATGGAAGGAGAGGTGATGTCCTCACTGCATCTCCCTCCCCTAATTCTGCTGAGCACAGAATTATATCTGCGTGGTGGGGGCGGGGGGGGGGGCAGCGTTAACATCTGATCCAGAGCCACCGCGCCGTCCGTTCTGTTCCCGTCTCCCTTCTGCCCACCGACACCTGAGGTTCGTTTTTCCCGTGAGAGTCCCTCTTGTCCTGCCTCTGATGCTCGAGTCAGCACTGTCCAAGAGCACGGCCTTTGTCACCGTCTGTCCCAGAGAAAGGCCGTCTATCCCCTGCCCTTCTCACTGCCTGGACAGGCCTAGTTGCCAGAGAAAGGCCGATGTTGCCGGCCGGGGTGGACCAGCCCTCCGCCTCTGCTGTTCGCGCTCAGGGGCTGACAGGTGTTCTCACTGCACAATGGACGGAGGGCCTCGCTGTCCCCCACGTAGGCCAGACAGAGGCGTCTCACAGCCCTTCCCAGGCGGTCTACTTGGCAAGAACTTCCTTTAGTTTTACACGTTTTCGTTTTCTCGTTCGCTGGAACTGGGTACAAAGGAGGGAAGCTAAGCAGTTACTGTTTATTTTGGAGACGCCAACGACCTCACATCCTTGAGAGGGTTTTGCAGGATAGTCAATAAATACTCCCCAAGAGCTCATGTTTTTATTCCGAATTACAATTCGACCACATTTAATCCCTTGTTATTGCTTTGTCAGACTTTTAATTGAATTATTCAACACATGAAACAAAAGGAACGCATTGTAGACGGCGCACTAGTATTAGCAGAATTAGCAGGGTGCTGAGAATTATTAAAGAGGACATTATGTGTGTTAATCGGGCATTTAATTTTGCCTGTTTGTCGATGGAAAACATCCTCTTGGAAAGGATTTTCTTTTTTTTCAAAAACCTTAATTGTGACAATGCCTTCTTAACATCCGTGAATATATTGCACAAGCCAGCGAGAGCTGTTTGAATCCTAATTAGTCAAAAATGATTCCTAATTCCCACTTTAACTCTAGAACGGCCAGCCCACAGTGTGGCTGGTCTTTAGCACAGAGGGAAAAGCTGGCCTTCCAAACTGCCATTGAAAAACGGCCCCTGCTCATTTAATGGGGCAGGCGTAACCTTGACATTGAAGGGTGTCCTCACTGCATCTCCCTCCCCTAATTCTGCTGAGCACAGAATTATATCTGCGTGGTGGGGGCGGGGGGGGGGGCAGCGTTAACATCTGATCCAGAGCCACCGCGCCGTCCGTTCTGTTCCCGTCTCCCTTCTGCCCACCGACACCTGAGGTTCGTTTTTCCCGTGAGAGTCCCTCTTGTCCTGCCTCTGACGCTCGAGTCAGCGCTGTCCAAGGGCACGGCCTTTGTCACCGTCTGTCCCAGAGAAAGGCCATCTATCCCCTGCCCTTCTCACCGCCTGGACAGTCCTAGTTGCCAGAGAAAGGCCGATGTTGCCGGCCAGGGTGGACCAGCCCTCCGCGCCTCTGCTGTTCGCGCTCAGGGGCTGACAGGCATTCTTCTCACTGCACAGCAGACGGAGGGCCTCGCTGTCCTCCACATAGGCCAGACAGAGGCGTCTCACAGCCCTTCCCAGGCGGTCTACTTGGCAAGAACTTCCTTTAGTTTTACATGTTTTCGTTTTCTCGTTCGCTGCAACTGGGTACAAAGGAGGGAGGCTAAGCAGTTACTGTTTATTTTGGAGACGCCGACGACCTCACATCCTTGAGAGGGTTTCGCAGGATAGTCAATAAATACTCCCCAAGAGCTCATGATATATAATAAAGAAAAAGAAAAAGAAAAAAGAAAAAAAATATTAAAGGATTGGAAAAATATCCACATTTCTGGTTATCTACAAGTGACATATAAAATTATCCACTGATAAATTATTAGAATTAATAAGAGAGCTTAGGAAAATTGCTGAGAAAAATATCAACATGCAAACACCAATGTCATTTCTATGAACAAGCATTTTTAAATAACTACTGTATGCATTAAAAATATAAATAAGATGTAATCTTACTAAAGATTTGTACAATTTTTATGTAGAAAATTAAAGCTTTTTATCAGAAGACATTTAAAAAGGATAAAATATGGAAAATATCACATTCAGGAATTAGAAATTGTAGCATAAAGATTTTTATTTTTTCCAGATTAATCACTAGGTTCATTGCAAAACTCATAAAAATTCCAGAAGAATTATATGGATAATAAAAGGGTCAAAAATAGCCAAGGCATTCAATAATAATAATAATAGAAAATACGTATATAGCATTTTTTTTCTGTGCTAGCCATTGCTCTAAGCAATGGGGAGTTGGCCTTAATCACTATCAAAAATTCTTATAAGGCATCCTCTCTCTCTCCCTTTTTTGGGGGAGGCAACTTAATTTTGGGGGGCTGTTGAGGCCAAAGGTGATCCTGAGTGGGGGGTGAAAGGATTAAGGAAAGACAGACAAGAGAATGAAAGCTGGGTCTCGGTGGGACACTGCTCCCTGATGAGGAGACAGC